GTCATATATCGAGGTTGCGATCTTGATACCAACTGCAAAGTGTCAGCGGGCACGCGAGTTTTCAGAAAATTGAGGTATTTACCATGCTCGAACAACTCCAATGATAAAGTGGAGGTTTGTCACAACACTGAGAGCTTGAAAGTAGTGGCAGCAGGGAATGCCAATATTCATACCCATGCAACAATTACACACATACTGATTGTTGGGTAATATGGCAAGGATATGGGTGGTCCCATGTCCTAGATGGGTAATGCGCAGCAGATGTTGGACTTGTAGACCCTGACCTTGTGCCAAACGGAGCAGCCAAGCTGTGCCGATGTAGGAGGTATCATTTTCAAACCTATTTACCATATGCTGGATGGAGAATAAATATAAAAGAAACAATTTTTCAGACAAAGCACTGACCGTGTCTTCACCAGCTGTCCAGTCATAACCAATTTCTTTGTTGACTCAAATAGCGTACTCATTCTAACAAACGGCAATTCATCCGAAGGGTCAGGAAAAAAATTTGAGATAGATTATATCAACATACCCAATCCCGAACACCATCTGGCTGTTGTAAAACCTCCATGTGATAGAACATGCTCAATTCCATCTCTTTAAAACTTCTCTGAAGTGCATGTGGTCCTACATACATTCTAAGTACTTGGAGTGGCCCTGGAAAGACTGACTTGATAGGTCCAGCATGCTGGCGACGCGAAGCCTAGTAGAGAGTAAGGAAGCACTGGCAACATAATAAGACAAAATAAATAACTCACTTCATGAACGCGAATCATATCCTGGACACCCTGACCAGTTGTGCGCTCGTTGACGCCATTAAATAATTGTATTGTGCTTTTCTTAGGACCGCCGATGGTCTTGTTGACCCTGTTCTCTCCTTCAACACAGCCATTGGTGCGGACACCACACGTAAATTGGAAACTAGTATATGCCCATGCCCATTGAGATCGGCAAGGATATAACTCATCCTCGAGGTACTGTCGAGCAGAGGGGAAGTGGGTTAGAAGAATAAGCCAAAGGCAATCGAACTCTTCAGGGGAAACGGCATGGTACACCTGCCAGAACATCTGTGTAAACTCTGACCATTGGGAGCCCAGACTGCGACAGACATTGGTTGCCACATTGGTATCAAGATGATGGATACAAAAAAAGTGTGGGGTGAGAGGGAGAATTCGGTGAGCACTTGCAATTATGGATCTGTGATGATCAGAAACAAGCCCATCTGGATGAAAGCCGGCACTTTGAAGATGGCAGCCAAAGACCCAATCGTGGTGAGCAACGTCTTCTTGGGCATATAATGCATACCAAGCATTTCGTGAACAACCATGCCCGTCGATTATGATGCCGATGTTGAGTGGGTATCCATTTTGGTTTCAACAAAATGTGTTATTGTTGATGAGAATATCTCCATAGCGCTGACAGAGCTCCCCCTGAAGTGGCGACTGCCACCATATACCTGTGACAACTTGGTTCTCATCCAGCTTAAGATAATGGAGCCAGCTCTTCTCCTTGAGGCTTGTGATAATAGCTGCAAAGTCACCCCCTAGATGATCAACCTGAGCACGAGCCTTGCTACAAGCATCATTGACAATGTTGCACTAGTATCAACCATTGTTTATGAAAAAGTCTGGGCAAGTGCCTGCACAACTTTTTGGACACTGCCTAGGT